TGTGTTCATGTGTGTGATGATGATCCTTGCTTTTATTTGATGGTTACTGTAATTATTTAAATTGAAGTTACAGTTCCTGTACAGCTTATTGTATAAATGCGGGGCAATGTAATTATTGTTTCTCTTTGGATAAAACACTTCTTGTTTTAGCCTTTTAATCCTAACAAAAACACCGGAGAAGGACCACACTCTCACAGAATACTGGCGTCAAACAGTGGCTTAATGCTGCTGTGTTTCGTATGGTGAGTGTAGAGAACCGCAGCCCTTTTTTACTGGAAACGAGGCATTCCATCTTAATCCTCACGGGTGACAACGCATCCGCACTTCGATTCGTAATCGAGGATAGATGTGGATGTCTGTGGGCCACAGCAACCACTTACCATCAGGTGGACTGTGTGCTCGTTTGTAACCCCATCCTATAAAAAAAATGCGACCGCTCGGGATTTGTCGGGCGCACCCATCCATTAAAAGTTATATTTATAGACTGCTTTTCCACAAAGACGTTTGATATTATAAAATCTATACAAAAGTCTCTATCATGTAGTCTAAACAAAAGTCAGGTTTTACTTCATTACAAAAAGATTTAATTGTATTTTAATAACAAAAAAAATCTACCAAGCGAATGTCGCCAGCGTGAAAATCACAATTATTTCAATATATACTACTTTAATTTACTTACGTAAAAAGATAAATTATATTCACACACAAACTTTTATTACAATTTTATAATAAAACACTATACTAAAACACTAGAAAATCCAAAAATCAACACAACATTCACGTGAAAATGGCGTACAAAATAAACGTAGGTTATAAAAAAATATCCATAGGATAACTTAATTTTTATTTCACTAGAGGATAGAAAATTTTGTATTGGTCCTATAATGCCAAAATTCTTTACATAAAAGTAGTGTCTATATATAAGTTTTTACGGGTTAAAATGTTGTGGGTGTGTGCGGTTTCATGAGACCGCTAGGGGATTGTGAGGCAAGGGGTCGGGTATTTGAATGTCCTTTTCTTTGTAATTTTGATATATGGTGCAGTTATACGATGGTACTGTTATGGTTATACGTTCCTGTTTAATACAATGTAGTTGAAAGCATTGTTTGTTCATTGTTTAATGTTTAAACACTTAAGATACATATAAGAAATCATTATGTGAACCAGTACGGATTGGTAATAACTTTGTTTATTTTTTTCAAAGCGCATAATGAAATTTTAATCACAAGTCCGTAATAAAATTAAAGAAAATTGTTGCACTCCTACTAACGAATTTTGTTGCTACGTTGGGTCGTTCACCAGAACTTTGTGAGGAGTGGGAAATGCCCAACGCTAAATAAACGATGACGTAAAGTGAATAAAAATGGGGTTCCTAATTCTAATCAAAACCTTTAAGTTTTTTATTGAAAACCCTCGATCTTAGTTAAAAAAAAAAGTTGTTTGATTACGTTGAATACATGGGAGATACTGAAAGTTGTTTTGTTATCTATTTTTTATATATTTTCTTATACATATATGGATTAAAATAATTTTTAACGGGAAGTCGCGTGTCAACTGTTTTTTTATTAATGTACATAAGTAAAAAAAAAGTAAATAAAGCCAAAATAATTTTAGGGTACTGATTTTCACTCTCTCCGCAAGAACTCAATCCAGATTAAAAACGGGCTCGAGTTGATTGGTGGAAAAAATGTTGTTAAAGTAGATAATAAAGATGTACAAATGCTGTGTATGATATTGTGATGGGAGATGAAACATAGATACATTCCGGGGAACAAGCAATATTTGTGTGTATGGGTCTTCGAAAGTGACAACAAACCAATAAAATTGAGGCAGGCAAGAAATGTGTGCAAAATAATGGTTACGTTTATTTCTACCAGTCGGGTCCCGTCTGCGTGATCTCACTCGACGAGCGAAGACAGTTAATGCTGAGTGGTACACCACTATTTGTTTGTCCGGTGTCTTTGCTAAAGTTAGGGAAAAACGACCAAGAAGTCGTATACTATTGCACCATTACAATTCTACGACGCACAAAGCGAACAAGACAAAGCTATTTTTGGTGTTAGTAGTTTTGGTTGTTTACTTTTTGGTAAGATGGAGCTCGTGACCAATCCCACACACAGTCCAAACCTCGCACCATGCGATTTATTTCTTATTTTTAATGTATTTAAAACTATGATTGTTAAGGCAAGTAATTTATTTCAGAGCTTGTCTTCATTTGACTAAATTTTTGGATTTATTTCAAGTTTTTTTTTAGATATTTTACTGTAGCAAAAACTTGTTCCCAGAGTTGTAACAACAATAAAGAGGCTAACAATTTTTCAACTTTTAAATTTGTAGCAATAAAATAACAGAAAAATAATTTAGACTATAACGTTTCCCCAGTAAGCCTATTCCACGAGTCAGTTACGATCCTGTTTAATTTGTAATTATTGCAAAATAATTGATATAAGCAATGATTGGAAAAAATTAAAGCAATATCAATTTAAAAAAAAGTAATGAAGCTTATTCGTCCGATTAAAATTCTTCTTGTTTTTCTTTTGGTTCTTGTTTAATTTTAAATTTAAGTTACAATGATCGATAGAAAGATATTTTAACATAATATATTAAAACTCTAGAGATATACTATGATGATATACGTGGCGTACTCATGCGTATTATGAAATTTATAACCTTTATAAAAATTTGTAATGTAATATCTCAGAAATGGTGGCTCGTAGGAAAAAAGTATTTATACATTTCTATAATTTGTGTTGAGGGTATTTTTATGATAAAACTTAGGTACCATTTTGGTGAAAATCGCGAAAAACTAATTTTTTGACCTTTGACCTTGAGTAAAAATTTTTCCATACACAGGAATGATGGGGAACTTCAAAATTTTATTTATAATTATATTTTGAACAATTTTACTGATTATCAGCTTATTGTAACTTTATGTATCTTTACTCTTATTTTCTGGTCTAATTTGATCGGACTATAATGTATTAAAATAACAACATAACTTTGTGTAATTGTTTTAATTTTTTTAACTCTATATTGCTACACCCTTTGTATGCTTTAGTAATAAGATATGTAAACATAAATTAATAATGAATATAAAGTCTGAAATTACCCACATAGCATAACGGGTATAGTATTTTCTAACAAGTCATCTGAAGAAGAGGCAGTGACATATCTACGTTAAGATACCGGTAAATTTTTATATTCGGCGACTTAGTCGACCTATAAAAGACATGAACGGGACTGTTTCGAACAGTTGGTGTGTGTTAGTTTCTAACAGTGGTAGGCGTCGATTAATTTAAAAGGTAGGCTTTTTAATATTTAATTTTTCTACAACTTTATATATATGTATTATGTAACTAAATAAATAAAAACTTGCTCTTTTAAAGTTCTAAACATTAAAAAATTTGCTTGAAAACTTTGATAAAAGAAAAAAAGTAACTTGCTCAACAACTTGACTTGCTTTGCTTGACAATACCCTTTTTCTCAGAAATGTGTAGAGGTAAAATTAATAACAAATACTTGGGTCTACGTTCCCTTCGAGTTATAACAATTTTAAGCTTCTAAGATAACGCCATTTAAAAAACTACGTTACGTAATTTGATATTTTTAAAACCTTTACACTTACAGCACAAGTTGAGGAAAAAATTCTGAAAATTGTTAATTTATTGCAGTATCACATAAAAATATTTTTTTGATTACGTGCTTACATTCGTTGTTAAAACATCTGTCGTAATATATGGGAAAACATGAATTTTTAATACAAAGTTAAGTTTGTCCTCTTACGTGGCTGACATTTTCGTGAAAGAGTTTCGTAAGAGAGTTTCGGTGTTTAACACTCCTATATTTCCTGGAACGAATGAACTATGTACATAGACTTAATACGGAACCCTTAGCTCGTAAGTCATACTACCTCCTGTCCGATTTTTTATTATCGAACGACATAACGCACATCGCGACAAAACTCGCGATACCATACATACCATCTGGATGACCACCAATGTGCGATTTAAAAGAAGTTTTCTTTTTCGCACAACTTCCTTGTGGAATCGATTATAACCAGAGATTTTTCCGGACCGATACGACTTAAGGACCTTCAAGAAAAAAGTCTACTCCTTTTTAAAAGGTCGGCAACACATCTGAAATGTCTCCGGTGTTGCAGTTTTTCGTGGGCGGCGGTAGTCACTTACCATTAGGTGAGGCACATGCTCGTTTGCCCCCTCTCTTATAAAAAATACTTGTTTTACCGATGGGTTTAATATTTTTCATTTCTAATAAACTATAGACGTGGTCCTTCACTGCTGGCCGTATGAGGACGCTTAAGGTCGCTCAGCGAGCTATGGAGAGGGCTATGCTCGGAGTTTCTCTGCGTGATAGACTCAGAAATGAGGATATCCGCAGTAAAACCGGAGTGACCGACATAGCCCAACGGATTAGTAAGCGGAAGTGGCAAAGGGCCGGCCATATAGCTCGAAGAACCGATAACCGATGGGGAAGAAAGGTTCTCGAGTGGCAGCTTCGTACCGGTAGGCGTAGTGTAGGGCGACCCCCCACCAGATGGAGTGACGACCTGGTAAGATATGCAGGAAGTCGATGGATGCAGGTGGCTCAGGACCGTGCTTTGTGGCATTACTTGGGGGAGGCCTATGTTCAGCAGTGGACTTGTGAAGGGATGATGATGATGATGAATAAACTGTACTATCGTGTAGGTTCACTAGATTATATTAATATATTAACTATTGTAAATGAACAGTTAAAATGTCCAAAATGGAGTTATCTGCGGGGATTTTTTATTTGGAGGAACCGTTTTGGACGGTATTACATTAAATAACAAGTATTTACTTGGGTTTTTTAATTAATGAAATTATTAGATATAAAATAGGTTTCTATGACTAAGAGTACGTACGACTTACGAGTACTACTGCAGAATCTTAAAAATGGCGTTTGTTATAGTGTTTTAAAATTTAGATCGAATACAAAAAGATTTTACTTCATTTCAGAAAATGAAATTGCGCGTGGTTATCTTGTGCTCGTTGGTGGCGTGCGCGACGTCGCTCGCTGTTGAGCATGGACCGCTGATTTCTGCTTTGCAGCCTGCTCAAGCTGAAAATTACCTTCACGATTCTTCAGCGGTGGATCAGTCAAGGCAGAAGAGAGGACTCGGTCTTATCGGTATGATTTACTCAATGTTCTGACTGAAGCCATAAATTAATATTGCTGTACACAAAACCATTGGACATACCAAACTTTGACTAAAATATATAATACTAGCGATCCACCCTGGCTTCGCTTGTATGATTTCTGGTTCTCGACTACTGAGTCCAATTGTGAATCTAAACCATTCTCGAATTAACAAAATCACACACGCACGCGCACACACGCACACACACACACACACACACACACACACACCCACACACACACACACACACACACACACACACACACACACACACACACACACACACACACAGCACACACACACACACACACACACACATACACACACACACACACACACACACACACACACACACACGCACACACACACACACACACACACACACACACACACACACACACACACACACACACACACACACGCACACACACACACAATTTTATCAAAATCGGACCAGCCGTTTAGGGGGAGATCAGTCACATACACAGTAGAATTATGATACTATAATATATTATAAAGATTATCAATATAATTTGAATTAGGCAACATTCTTAGCGCTATATCGCGGGAGTACCTCATCTCCTTCCCTGTGTGACAATTTTAGTTCTTAGTTTTTTATTGATATTATTAATATTTTATTCAGTAAATGCGTAAAAAACTAGAACGAAAGTCGCCAAGTAATACCTCGCTGGTGTTCCACGTGTGGAGCATTTATCAAAACAAGTACATAATAGATTTTAATGTAAATTATTTTTTAAACTAAAACTGGCTGTGATTTTTTAAATTAATAATAGCCGTTTCGTTAGTGTTATAATGTTTTTCTTCGTTTTTCCGCGTGGGACTAATATTTGGGGTGTAACTTTACTTTTACTTTACTTTAAACGTACTGGGATCATTAATAATATACTTTATATTTTAATACTTTTAATGAGTTTATTGACTCACAAAGATATAAATTATGCTAATACATAGAATACCTGTTCGAAATGATATCAGCAAGAAATAAGACATGTTTATAAGTTGAGCTCGCAAGCTTAAATCTCTTTAGAAGACAAATGGATTAATAGAAGCATAAAATTATAAAACAAGGGAAATTAAAAAAATATACCAAATTTTTACTACGTTATTTTATCATATTATTACATTGTCATCAGAATTTGAGCTAAATTAAAATTTTCAAGAGTCCTTCTCATCGAAAAGTTAGATTAAAACCAATTACTAAATTCCACCCGGGACAACAGACACACAGACAGCCAAACAAGAAATTGACTGAATAAAAACGTGGTGCAATAGTTAGATATGAAGGAATGTGTAATGGAAAGCTTTAATTAATTAGTCCCATTAAATAAAAAAAAAACGTTAAAATGTCACATGTATTTAATTAAATATTTTCAAAATTTCAAATGAGTTTAGTTTAAATTTTAGGCGCAGGCGTCCTCGGTGCCGGAGTGTTGGGTGCTGGAGCACTTGGAGCTGGTATAATTGGCGCTAAAGCGCTCGGTGCTGGATTTATTGGCGGAGCTCTGGCGTCAAAAGCTTTCCACGGAAGAAGCTATGGTGGTTACGGAGGCTACTATGGTGGCCATGGGTACTACGGTAACGGTTATGGGTACGGTGGCTATGGTGGCTATGGCTACAGGTATTGTTTGAGATTCATTATAGTTTCATTAAATAATTAATAGCACTATGTGGTAGAGCCATACTGCAGGTATGTTAGGGTTGTAACAAGAATGGATCGGCTCGACAGGGGAAGGACCACGCTCTCACTGAATACCAGCATGAATGAGCAGCTTAATGGTGTTTCTTGGTGTCAGTGTAGAGAGTAGGAGGCCTTTTTTACTAGAAACGAGGAACTCTATTTTAGTACTCAGTGGTGACAACGCCTCTGCATTTTTATTTTTAATCGAGGGTAGACATAGATGTCTGTGGGCCACAGCACCCACTCAACATCAGGTTGCCTGTGTGCTTGCTTGTCAACCTTATCCTATAAAAAAACTAAATAATGTAAACTGATAAAGATATTAATAGTTACTTTGCAACCATCCGCTCAATCAACCAAAATGATGTGCCTTACCTAGTTTGAAGAACACCTCCCGCCCTCCTCCGATTGCGCGCACCAATCCCGTCACCACTACACTAATCCCAACTCCACTACTCCCAACTTCACTATTCTAGGAATAAATTGAGCGGATGGTTGCAAAGTAACTATTAATATCTTTATTATAATGGATTACCCCAAGGTAACGCCTTTTTCTATCAATTAATGTAAACTGAGTTTTGAAAGGAGTTTTGAGACTAAATTAGTTTTATAACCTTAAAAGCGAGGCTGTACCTTTAGGGGCGCCGTAAGCGAATCCAATACTTCATACCAACCGTTGATGTTGTAAGAGGCGATAGAGGATGTAAGACAAGACGACAACGTCCTCTTAATACAAACTTAATAATTATACAAAAACTGCTGTTGCCAACCCACTTACCAAGCGTGGAAACTATAACAAATATGTGTGATATTTTAAGACAGTCTGTGGGAAGTATCTGTTGCTTGTTATAATCTGTAATTATTATGATAAAGATGAGGATAAATTTTAAGCAATTCTTAAGAATAACCAAAGAAAAGAATTACAGAAATAAAGAAAAACAAAATAATACATACACATAAACAAAAACAAAAAATGTTTTGTTACTCTTGAACTTAATAACTTTAACTTTTATGCATGGTAGAGCCATGCTTCAGTTCTATCAGTAATATAGCTGTAGCACAAATGGGTTCGCTCGACCGGGGAAAGACCACACTCTTACAGAATACCAGCGTAAAATAGCAGCTTAATGCTGCTGTGTTTCGAATGGTAAGTGTAGAGAACCGGAGACCCTTTTTACTGGAAACGAGGCATTCCATCGTAGTCCTCACGGGCGACAACGCATCTGAATTATTATTCGTAGTCGAGGATAGATGTCGAGATATCTATGGGATACATCAACCATTTACCATCAAGCGGACTGTGTGCTAGTTTGTCATCCTATCCTATAAAAACATCTATAATAAAAAAATGTTCTATGCTGTAAGATAGAACAGACGATAGGACACAAGCAGGCACTTATGCTCGATTCCTATGTTCAAGAAACGTTTCATTCTTTGATACGACAGTTTAAAACAATTTTAAACTTTTCATTTGTTGTATTGTTTTATTCATGGTGTTTCGATTTGTATAACGGTTTGTAAGAGAAAACAATACGTTTATATAATAAAGAAACTATGTGTTATTGGTCACAATAGTAGTCTGTACTAGACCACGAAGTTGATGTTAGTCAGATACACGCTTTACGCATTTTTTTGTCAATGAAATACCATAATATTCATAAGCTCTCGCCTTGTTTGAAATCAGCCTTGTGGGACAATATTATAAACAAAATAATTACTACAATATCTCGCAGTATTGACTCTGCTGCCTTTTGACGCTTTGGATTTTACGATTGACGTATGGTTACATTGCTATTTATGGATAGCAATGAGATCTTTCTGGAATTTTACATAGTTACCTCTTACGAAATCATTCTCATACCGACGTAATAAGGATATGGGTACTATTACACTTTCACTACAAGGCGCTTCGATATCTACATTTGACATGAAAAATATACTTGTAAGCCGTATTGATGCTGAAATAAGAATCTTCATTAAACATTTTATTATGATGTCCTTTAATATATCTTGTTGTATTTTTTGTTCTTTTAATATAATATTTTTATTGTTTCAGGACGTACTATCCCACCACATACTATGTTTGGGGTTGAGTGTCACTTTAAAAATATGTCGGACATTCATTTGTTGATTATTTTTAAATTTTATTGCGTGTGGTACAGTTTACGAACGTTTACGACAGTGCAGGTGTAATTTTTTATTACATACGAAATAAAACCATGTTAACCAAGCAAGCATGCATATTTGTTGCCGTTTTATTTAATACCCAAAACGTATTTTGTTTTTTAGCCTTGCAGCAGTCCACTTTTGGGCATGGACATGTGCTTTCGATTGTAGAGATTTGCCATTTAACCTTTTGATGATGCTCATTTAATATGCGTTATAAAAGATTTCCCATTGGATAGTTTGTCACTATACAAACGGTTTCATCTCTGCATTCGCTCGTTATATTGCAAAATGCCGAAGGCAAATTGATGTGTCGTAGTCCAATATTATATAGTAGAATTGGGTACAGCCTGATTTGCCTGGGTATTTGATTACATATTCATGATTTTTGGGATAAATAATGTATTCTACTACCACGTAGTTATAGCGTACGCTGCAACTATATTACGGTTGTAGCACGAATAGGTCGGCTCGACCGGGATAAGATCACACTCTCACAGAATACCGGCGTAAGTAGCAACTTAATGCTGCTGTGTCTTGTATGCTGAGTGTAGAGAACCAAAGCCCCTTTTTACTGGAAACGAGGCATTGCATCTCGTCCTCAGGAGTGACAATTCTTATTTGAGGATAAATTTAGATGTCTCTGGGCCACAGCATCCACTTACTATCGGATGGACTGTCTGCTTTTCTGTCACACTAATTCTAGATCACGCTCTCACAGAATACCGGCGTAAGTAGCAACTTAATGCTGCTGTGTCTTGTATGGTGAGTGTAGAGAACCAAAGACCCTTTTTACTGGGAACGAGGTATTCCATCTCGTCCTCAGGAGTGACAATTCTTATTTGATGATAAATTTAGATGTCTCTGGGCCACAGCATCCACTTATTATCAGATGGACTGTCTGCTTTTTTGTCACACTAATTATATTAGAAATAACTAAGAATTTTGTTAACTTTGTCGAAATTACAAAAGCACCTATCTAAAAATGCTAGAGAGAGTAGGTTGAGATAAGTCTAAAATAGTTTTTGGTGGAAGTCATATTTACAAATTATCGGCCAAATCTGAAACGACGGCTTGTAATGAAATGCTCAGACAGCTAGTCGCACGTAGCAAACAGACAACAGTATCATTTATTTAATGACACAAACAGACACAGTTTGTATAACGACGAATCATACATTTAGGGACGATATTTACTAGACAAAAGTAGTCTTTGTCTGTGAAATTGTAATTAGTAAAGAAAGTAGCATTTTTTTACAAAAACCTTCAAATGTTACCAAAATATTTGCCTAAACTATTTACCCACTCTTGCAATTTTATTTGTCAATTTTATTTAAGTGTCCCTAGCGTAGTTTTTGAGGGATCATTAATTTGTCGCCTTCATAGTGCTGCGGCTTAGTAAGCGTTTGGTCGCAGTGTTGTGAACCGAGTGCTCGAATCCCGCGCGAAACAAGTGTTTATAATACGGCCTACAAATAATTGTTCCGTGTCTGGTGTATGCTCTTGTGCAGTTTATGTATGTAAACCAGGACCCGATACAGGAAAATCATATCGTAAAGTTTTTTTTTAAACATAAAATTTGCCTATAAAAACTTCAAAAAAGGTGAAAGTATGTTTGGGCAAGGTCTGCAGACTGCAGAGTGTGGTGGAAGATGCCATTTTTGCAAGCGTCTGTTGAGCAATATGTGGCCGGGCGTTGTAATGAATTCTTGAATCTTTGTCATAGAAACAATAGTGAATAGTTCACCTATCAATAAAACTCTTGCCAATTACGGTCAGTAGCAACTGTAGCACCAGATGGCAAGAAGCTTTAGTAATCTCTTCTTCTATTCTTCTGGTTTATCTTTCGTTTCGGGCATTGTTTTGCTTGGGCATCTAGATCTCACCAACGTGATGAACTCTTGCGAACGTCGTTTAGCATCTACTTCTCATCGCAGGGAACAACTCTACTCAAAATTCCTTCCTTTTTATCCCGATTTAGTAATATGATGTGAGTTTTCTCAAGCGTCTTTATTTTAGTGATATGACCCAAATGATCTGTTATTGATTTGAAATTTATTACTTAATATTCATTATCGTCATTAACAAACTTTTTCGGGCGGCTACGAGGTTCATTTGTGACGTGTAAATTTCTCTAGCGAGGCGATTGAACTAATAACGATAGTTCGTTTATCAGTAGTGCTAGGTTCGTATACGTCTTTGATATTTCGTGCCATTTCGGACGCACTATTGACACCACGAACCACATGTTTCACATGTTTTCATGAATCAGGGGTTACGTATTTTGCATGAATCCATTGTAATATAGAAGTTAAATTGTAAAAGCCAAGGTCAGTAATCTCTTAAATTACTCCACGTGGTTTAGTGTCAAAGAAGCTGATTTCATTTCATCGCTGAATAGCTAAGAAATAAGTTCGAAACTTAACCGTTGAGGCTAGAAAAGAACCAGCCCTCGTGTTCATACCTGGAGAAGACCTGGAGACTCGGAAAGGCAAAGAACTGCCACTAAATCCGGAATTGTGGAATTATCCACAATTATATCAGTCCACTGCTGAATATAGGCCTCCCCCAAGGTATGCCACAAAACACGGTCCTGAGCTACTTACATCCATTAACTTCTTACTAAATTATATAGAGCTTACTCTAGGGCTAAAAACTTACTTGGGCTGCTTTCGCCGTGTATGTGTGTGTGACCAGGCAGTTAATAGATATTTAAAGAGCCGTAAAAGCACAAGGAATCAGCGACTGCGGTAAATTTTAAAGTACGTTAGCAACTCAAGCGAGATACCCACCGACAATACCGAAATTGTTTTATTTACAACGTGAAGTAAAACGGCGACGAAAACATTTCTTCTGTATTATTTGGCTGGTAATAATAATGTGGGTATTATTATACCCACATTATTATTAGTCCTCAGTAAATTAGATAGATATTAGTCCAGAGCAAAATAACTGGCGAACCAGTAAAAGAGTGTTAGGCCCCTTGGTAATGCGTAAGTACAAATATCGACCGAAGATGCGCATGTCAATGTGTGTAAACGCCATGCAGAATACGATCAAATCCAGCCACAGTAAATGTAAATTACACGGTTTAGGTAATACGTTGAATAATAGGCAAACTAGCCATAAATGCCCTCCGTGAACATCACCACCTGTCAGACTGCCGCTCCTGCAGACGTGATTTAAGTGTTTGGCATCTCTACTGATTGCATGATCAGCACGGATACTAGCCGCAGAGCGTGTCATGAGTTTAACGATCACCTCAAGAGAATAGTCCCATGTTGCGCAGCTTTCGGCCGCAGCCTCGAGAGACTCCTCAGATTCTGCCTACAGCTATCATATATGAGGTGATACCATAGCACGAGGTTGACACATATGCTCTACGAAACAACAACACGGCTGATATAGCGTAAAAACAGTTATAAAATAATAGTAATAATTCGCCATCAGAAAGGGTTTGTGTCACTGACGTTGCTTATATACATGTTCGATCACGTTTTTCTCACCTACCAACAAGTTGCCTTTAATCATTCATAGGTAGAAAATTTACAGAGATAATTATGTTGTTATATAAAATAACTTGGAGGTGAGACAGTCTGCAGCCCCATCATAAAGGGACCCAACTTGGACAAAGGTACTTAAGTGTGAGTCAAAACAAGACGCAAAAAGCGCCATTGAGAATAGCGACCCGCCAAGCAACCGTCGCAGAGACGTAATGCTGCATAACGCAACAAGCATCAATACGACTATCGTCGGGCTTACACCATCCCAAGGTCCCTCATACAATCCTAGCAGACATCACCACCGCATACCTCCATCGACCAGAAACACAAGATGCGTCGAACCAGGGGCAGCTACTCGCAGATCCATCACAAGATACAATACCGCAAAGTTACCACAAGGTACCTCAGTGAATACGGATGGTACCGCCTCACCAACACTCCCACATGATCCCTTTTGACTATGGCAACAAAACTGGTATTGTTGTTAACTAAAAATAGCACCAACGTATCATAGTAGCACGCTACTAAGACAACAGTATCCAAGAATTCACTAAAGCGCTATTACACAGACATGGAGTTGAGTATCCTTGTTACACTTAAAAATACTAAAAAACTCTCTTACCCCAATTCCAAAGATAGCCGACTTATCATAACGCTATGCGCTAAGACGCCGCCCACAAACAAATATGGTTTTTGCGATATCCACGGGCAAACTGTATTGCTACAACAAACCCGCTTGTCATCGGAACTAAGACGATATATCTACGACATATCGGTTAGCGAGTCCAAGTTTACCTCAGTCTCGGACACTGATTCAGTCTACACGCCAGTATAGCAATCATTTTCAAGTGCCATTATTATTAATAAAATGCTTTTACATATTTGAGACCTTCCACATATTTGTCTTTATTATATTGAACTTAGGTCTTCAACTCTACTATCATAATTCATAATGCTTATACATCATAGATACCTTCTACAATAATACTTATGCATCATAGAGATGTTCTATAATAATGCTTTTGTATCATAGACCTTACTAACATAAGCCCCTAATATAGGACTATACATAGTGCTATTAGTAATACTATAGTAGTCAGTAACTTGACTACCTTATATATACGTACACCCAATAGGTATGCGGCTCCGGCAACTCCCCTTACAAGCAATCCCTACTTAAACAACCTTCATCTATACAAGAACACACTTCAATAACAAAATTTTTGACCAATTTTCCCATTATATCACAAATGTTATTTATCTTTATTAAAATAATATGTTCAACTTGAATTTCTATACTATACTCTATACTTGTATACATTTTGAATATTTTCGCAAAGTTTTAATTAATTTTGAGGATTTAATAAAATTAAGCCTTTACTATAATACTTAATGACTGAAATGAATCGTTTTTTTATCCTTAT